TTCATTGTGAACCATTCTGAGTTGAGATAAATATCTAGTGCAGTATTATACATAATTATAGATTTAAAATTATTATACATTATAAACACTCACACAATTCAGTAGTAGCATTATGTAAAAAAAAAAAAAAGAATTTGGAAAGAAGTAGATCCTGTTGTCACTAAAGGGCATGTCTACACAGCAGGGCTAAACTCGAAATAAGCTACACAACTTGGCTACGTCTACACTGGCCCCTTTTCCGGAAGGGGCATGTAAATTTCACCAGTCGTCGTAGGGAAATCCGCGGGGGATTTAAATATCCCCCGCGGCATTTAAATAAAAATGTCCGCCGCTTTTTTCCGGCTTTTAAAAAAGCCGGAAAAGAGCGTCTACACTGGCCCCGATCCTCCAGAAAAAGTGCCCTTTTCCGGAGGGTCTTATTTGAAGTAGGAATAAGACCCTCCGGAAAACTTTGAAGTAGGAATAAGAGCCTCCGGAAAAGGGCGCTTTTTCCGGAGGATCGGGGCCAGTCTAGACGCTCTTTTCCGGCTTTTTTAAAAGCCGGAAAAAAGCGGCGGACATTTTTATTTAAATGCTGCGGGGGATATTTAAATCCCCCGCGGATTTCCCTACGACGACTGGTGAAATTTACATGCCCCTTCCGGAAAAGGGGCCAGTGTAGACGTAGCCCTTGAGCTACACTATTTCAAAGTAGAACACTCTTCCCCCGACTTCCCTTACTCCTCATACAATGAGGTTTGCAGAAGTCAGAGTAAGAAGCCTGTTATTTCGAATTTATTTAGAAATAATGGGCTTGCTTTGTAGATGCACACTACATTATTTCAGAATAAATGACATTATTCCAAAATAACACTGCTGTGTACACATAGCCTAAGCCTTGGTCAGAAAATCAATCAATCACCTAATTCACCTATATTGTTATAACAAATATTATTGAAGAGAAGTATAGTCTTATTTGTCTGGGAACTAAATGCAATAGATTTGAAATTAGGGAATTGTAAAGACTGATGAAGGATATATTCATATGTATGCCATCACTAAGCAAGTACTCTATTCATTAGGGCTGTGTCTAGACTGGCAAGTTTTTCTGCAAAATCATCTGATTTTGTGGAAAAACTTGCCAGCTGTCTACACTGGCCGTTTGAATTTCCGCAAGAACACTGATGATCTCATGTAAGATCGTCAGTGTTCTTACGGAAATACTGTGCTGCTCCCGTTCGGGCAAAAGCCCTCTTGCACAAATCATTTGCGCAAGAGGGCCAGTGTAAACAGCACAGTACTGTTTTCCACAAAAAAGCCCCAATCGCAAAAATGGCGATCGGGGCTTTTTTGCGGAAAACCGCGTCTAGATTGGCCACGGACGCTTTTCTGCAAAAAGTGCTTTTGCGGAAAAGCATCCTGCCAATCTAGACGTGCTTTTCCGAAAATTCTTTTAACGGAAAACTTTTCCGTTAAAAGCATTTTCGGAAAAATCATGCCAGTGTAGACGTAGGAGTTTGCTACACTGGTAAAAATGCTACTAGTGTTCCTCAGCGGGAAAGCATGCAATGAACCAATCCTTTTGATGTTAAAAATAATTGAAGTAACATCATGTTAAACTGACAATATGCCCATCTTAGTTACTGGAATTCTTTTAATTGAGCTTAATTGACCCAACAATTGTCACATTTTCCTCGTCAGAACTTGTCTCTCTCTTGCTCCTAGTTACACAGCCCTGGTAGCATCGGGAAGAATAATCATTCACCTTGCACACCACCAATTTGCACTGGAGGTACACTGTAGAGGATCCATTAAAAAATTGAAAGGCTTTAAATTGGAACTGAACAGTTTTTTTGTTTGATGAATAGTATTTCCTGTAGGTATTGTCTCTTACACATCTGTGAAAAAGGAAAAAAAACCATAAAATTAGAGGCAATGCAAAAAGAAGACAAAATTAAAATAGCATCTCTATTAAATGGACATTGAAATGAACTGTATGGGTCACTGGATAAAGGAAATATATCATCTGAAAAATCTGAAAAGTCAAATCTGGACATATCACAAGTGTTCAATGATATAAGATGAACTCTAGACCAGAACTTTCTGGTCCAGAAAGATCCATCATTCAGAATGATTTCTGTTAGTTGGATGTCCACTTTTCATGGGTGTAGCCAATTTTCCTGTGGTCCTATAAAGTTTGATTACAGTCACCAGTCCTGACTTTCAGTATTCTGTGCTGTTAGTTAGCTCTGTTTTACCACAAAATGTCCTCTAATAGCCCAATAAGCAGTGGAAGTATTGGTAATGCTGCTAGACAATATTGACCTTCTATGGTTTGGCAAATTCTCTCGTTTGGAATCGATCAAGACCCAAGAATGCCAACCTGTACTTGAATGCGTGTAGCACATCCAGAGTAGGGATTTGTACCAGTATTGATAAATGAATAGCTACAAAAATCTCTCTAGTGTGGACTAGACCTTATTGGAATTTGAAAAGGGGAAAAAACTGAATAATTTTCAATGTCAAATTAAGAAGTAAACCAGAGTGGAACACTCTAGATATACTATATAATGTAGGTATGTTTATGTAAATCACTGGAGACAAGAATCAAGTAAACACATTGTGAAATTATAGTTTTGGCTTCAGATAGGCAAGGAAACAGGAATAATATTGTCTGTCTTACTTGTAGTCCTGGGCTCTTGTGTGGTAGGTGGAGGAGTTGGTGCTACAGAAACACAATGAAAGACACTTTATGCCACATATACTCCAATACATTTTATCAGCTGATGGAAATATAAAGTAAACCCTTTCTCATGTTGAGCAGCACTCACTTAGGGGAGTAGTCTTCAGTGTGATTCTCTCAGGAGAGAGTATTTGTACAAGGAAGGGATCTGCTTATCTTTAATGAGATCACTAAAGGATAAGTCTTTTTCAGTCTGGGTAAACGCTGGAGAGACATCCCCTCACTGTCAAATATGAGTTCAAAGATTCTGATAATAATATTGAACTCAACTAACAATGCTGTTATTTTGGATGCAGGGTACCCTGAATTGGCCAGATATGTGCTATACTGTGTAAATTGGATGAAGATTTTTCACATGTGAAGAAAGGCAGCACATTAGGGTGAAGTGTTTGCAAAGGGTGCCTGGCAAAGCGAGGAAGGCAGGTGTGTGCTTCTAAAACACAGGACATAGAAATATGAAAAAGTCCCATTTATGCCTGGCATACGGATCTTGAGCAAAAGGGGTTTTTTGTGCAAAATGGATGTGGCTACACTGCTTCTTTTTGCGCAAAAAACCCTTGCTCCTCATGCTAAAGACATCGCTCCGTCATTAGCATACTCTGCCGCAAAAACCTTGTAGTGTAGACAAAGCCGAAGAGAATAATTTGCAAAATGTTGCATTTTTGGTCATGGCTGAACTATTTTATAAAGCTCAACTGTATGGTGCCTAGTCCTGCCTATTTATTTAACCATATAATTTATTCTAGCATTTTGCTTACACCACGTTCACTCTAATTTCCCTTACCTTTCTTAGCTGTAGTCAGTGGTTCTGGGGTAGATATAGCCCTAGTGCTCTCTGGTGTGAAAATGGCTGAAGAGGAGTTATCTGTTTCCAATGTTGTGTAATCTGAAGGGGCTGTCAGAAAGTTAAGGAAAGGAATTAATAGACTCATCTGGTAGGAGCACTTAGAACCAGTTTATTGCTTAAAAGATTTAGATATTATATATACAGTCAGAGTACAGTTTATCCTATTTATGCTTTCCCACAGGGACTCATTCTTCACTAAGTTAGATTCATTCTATCTACAAGGTTAGAGGGAGTTTCTCATGTTCAAAATGAAATTTATTGAAATATTTCTGTGAATAATATTGGTCACTAGATTTTTCTGAGGATTAAAAATTCCATTAGTTTTGATACATAGGACTCTTCTTTCTCTCTTTTTGCATTGCAAAGTATGTAAGTATAAAAAACTTCTTTTTTCATCCTGGCTCTGTTTTTCTTTCAGTAAAGAAGGACAAACTGGGGTTGCATATGAAACCTGAAATGATCCATAGCTCTATATAAATGTGGAACTATTTTATGTATGTTGTCTATTTCCTTACTCACTTTTCTACCAGAAAAAAATGACCACTATATACATAGCAACATCCAGCCAGAAGTTCATCAGGAGAATTGTAATCAGAAACAACATAACATGACACACAATTTTGGTAACAGGCTCCTCAATTAGCTGCAAAATTACTTTTATGGGCTATAGTCAGTGATTCAGGGGTAGATGCTGTCCCAGTAGTCTCTGGCATTAAAGTGGAATAACCTGATCCCAGTGTTGTGTAATATGCACCTGCTATCAGCAAGATGAGGAAAAAAATTAGTAGAAAGAACTAGTAATAGTCCTTGGAAATGGGGTATTGGTTAAAAGATTAAGATTTCACGTTTTGTGGGAAATGTAGTTAACACAATAGTTTTATGCTTGTGGAGATGTGGATCCAAATTTTGTTTTAAAGATAATAATAAATTATTATTAGAATAAATTGGGGGGATTTTCATCATTAACAAAGTTAATTCAGGACTGTGCTCTGAAGGTGTAAAAGTGAAAGTGAATTTTGTAGTTTTATGCTACATGGCCTCGCCTAACATTACAAAATGTCACCAGCTGACATGAGTTTTACAACCTGTTCATGAAGAGCCTGTAAGTGAAATAATGGAATGCTGTGACAAAATGAAGTTATTGGATGATATTGGTGGGACTGTATAACAGTAAGCATCTGATTTACATCTGACTGTCTCGTACTAATAGACATACTATAGTCACACAGGAAGTGGCAGAAATACCATAGCTTGCGGGAATTTTAATAAACTAGGCTGGACAAAACTCCCGCATAAATATATTTACAGCTATTGTAAAATATAAGCCAGGAATCCTTAAACATTTTACCAGAGGGTCCAGCAATACCTGATAGCTGTTAGTCTTAATATGGTTTGAGATGCTAAGTGAGTACTGCGGTCTCACTTTTGCATGTATAGCTCATTGACCTCCACACTGATATGAGGGTGGGAGGAATGGACCAAGAGGGAGTATTGCATGTTTAGAATGAAATCTGTTGAAATATTTCAGTGAATAGTTTTTGAAAATAAATGTTGACCAGAAGTTTTTTCAGAAATAGTCTTGCGAAGATTCAAAATGCCATTCATTTTTGATACATCGGACAAAAGGAATCTTCCCTTCTTTCATCGCTTTGAATTCTAGTATTCTAGAATATGTAGGTTTGAAGACTTGTTTTACCTCCTTGCTGTATTCTTTTCACAAAAGGAGGACAAACTGAAGTTGCATCTGAAAACATCTGGAGTTCATAGCTCCATATAAATATGGAACGATTTTGCATACCATCTAATTGATGTATGCACTTTTGTATGAGGAAAAACAACCATACACATAACATCCTCCCAGAAATACATTGGGAAAATTTTAATCAGAAACAACATAATATGCACATATAATTTTGGTAACAGGATGCCCAGTTAGGTGCTAAATTATCTGCGTACACGCACAAAAAAGGGCCCTAATGTCCTGATGATTTGAAATACCGGGAAAATGTAGGCTAATGACTCCTATTTCCTAAAGAATTGAGGCCTGAAATGATTTGACAAGCTGGTATAAAAGGTTTCCTCAAAGTGTAACTATTGCACATGATTTTTGTGGGCACTGATCTCCTATATCTATCTTTTATTTTTGACGCAAACCTTACCAAACATATTATCTTAATTTTTTCTTTATTGCTCATGGTTGAGCCTTTTTAAAAGCACAACTGAATGGCATAGGGTCTTACCTATTTATTTAAGTGTATAATTTATTCTAGTTCTTTTTTTTTAGATTATATTCATACTCTGATTGTCCCTTACCTTCATCAGGTGTAGTCCGTGCTTCGGGGGTAGATATTTCCCAACTGCTCTCTGGCGTAGAGGTGGTTAAAAAGGAGGAATCTGTTTCTGGTGCTATGTAATCGGTAGCGGCTGTCAGAAAGATGAGGAAAGAAATGAATAAAAAAAACTAGTAATAGAACTTAGAACCTGGGTGTTGATTAAAAATTTAGATTTCATGTTTTGTGAAAAAACAAGTTAGCAAAGTAGCTTCTGCTTCTGGAGATGTGGATTAAAACTCTATTGTAAAGTTAATAATAAAATCTTATTAGAAAAATTAGAGAATCTTTGTAATTAAAATTGTAAATTCAGGCTGGCTTCTTAAGGAGCATAAGTGGAAGTTAGTTTTAAAGTTAAAATAAAGCAAGTAAAGCAAAGTCAAAGTTCTGCAGGGAAGGAAGCATGGAGAATCATATGTTACCAGCAGAGACACTCATGTAGGCAAAATATAATATGGTCATCCCTACCAAAATCCAACTTTGCTTACATTGTTAAGCACAACAATGGAAACAGTAAGTTTCAGAGAGAAGACGTCCATTTCCACATCCAGCCTTTTCCAAACTCATTAACTAATTTTGCATACAGGCACTCCTATAGTCCAATATTCTATTGGTTTTTGGTTTGGCTCATTTCATATGCACATCCATTTTACACATCATTTCTGATTTCAACTTCTGCCTCTCTTTACCTATATCTTTTCTATTTTGAGTACAGTTCCCCTTATTTCAGCTTCTCCCTAAGGCCTCTTTTTTCACAGTTACATTCATCCCAACTACCAGTTATCCACTTCCACCTAGGATCTCCTTGCAACTGGATGGCACTATTGTTCTGTGAACCAGCATGCTGGACATATGTTGGTCCTGATACAGTAGAAAATGTTTAGTGAATCCTGCTTTCTCAATGCTGAATGTGTACCTCATTAACGTCCACACTGGTTGTAAGAGTGGGAGGAATGGATCAGGAGAGAGAGAGAGTCTCATGTTTAAAATAAAATGTATTTAAATTTTCAGTGAATAATTTTGAAAATAAAATTTGATCACTAGATATTTCAGAAATAGTTTTGTGAGTATTTAAAATTACATTAGGTTTGATACATTGGACACCTGGAATCTTTCCTTTTTTCATTGGTTTGAATTCTAGTGTTCTAGAGCATGTCAGTTTGAAAACTTCTTTTACTATCTTGCTGTCATCTTCTCACTAAAGGAAGACAAACTTAGTTGCACCCATAGCTCTATATAAATGTGGAACTACTTTGTGTACAATCTAATTTGTACGTTCACTTCTGTAACAAGAAAATTGACCACACTTAGACATAACAGCATCCAGCCAGAAGTCAATCAGGACAATTTTAATAAGAAACAACTTAATATGCATGTACAATTTTGGTAACAGGATGCCCTATTAGGTGCAAAATTACTTGCATACCTGTCTGGTTTTTAACTTGTTCTAGCACTTTTCTTAGATCATGTTCATGCTGATTTTTCCTACCTTTATTAGCTATAGTTAGTGATTCGGTGGTAGATATTGCCTCCGTGCTCTCTGGCGAAAAAGTGGGTGAAAAGGAGTAATCTCTTTCCAGTATTCTGTCAGTCACATCAGCTGTCAGACAGATGAGGAAAGAAATCAATAGGTGCAGCTAGTAATAGAATTTGGCTTAGCCATGGGATAGTGCAATCTGCAGCCTCAGCAGTCAAGAGGCTGCCACTACAAATAGCATCCTGAATGACAGCCAAAGCTGTCCATGTAAATTAGATGACATCCTCTCACACTGGGTGGAACATTATCACAGTGCCCTTAATCCACCTCCAGCTGCCGCTTTTTCAGAGATGAATGATTTGGTGGCCTCTATGGTTTTGGATGCTGACTCTGGTACTGACACACCAATGTTGGATGAGGTGAAGTGTGCTATTTGCAAACTGAAAAACGGACTCACGTCCTGCTTTAATGGCATCCCCCCGAGCTACTAAAATGTGTTATGACCCTATAGCCGAATCACTTCTGACCATCTTTCATGTGGAGTAGAGAACTGGAGCCCTGCCAACAGACTTGAAGCATGGCATTGTGATCTCACTCTATAACCATGCAGTGAATGTAAGGACTCCAGGCTGATTATCTTGTTCTCTGTGCCAGGGAAGGTGCTTGCACCTGTTTTGCTGGCATGTATGGAGCTCCTGCTGCATCAGAAGTATGACCCCTGATAGTCAGGTTTTATGAGGAACTGGTCCATGTTATTTGCCATTTGACCCACCGCTTCTTGTCAGAAATATACTGTGAGTTCAAGAAGCCCCTGCACATAGTGTATGTCAATCTTAAAGCTGTTTGATTCAGTTGACCACAATATACTATGCAAGGGGTTAAAGGGCATAAGCACTTTGCTGGGCTTGATTAATGAGCTGCATAATGGAACTGCTGCCCATATATGTTTGGGGAATCAGATGTTGGCAACTTTTAAATCAGTATCTGGTGCCAGGCAAGGCTGCATGTTGACCTAATTAACTATTAATTCTCTGTTAACAACATTATGAAATTAGAAGCTACTTTATAAATTATTGTATGAAATACTATTCTATACCATTTAGTTTTAATGGCTTCTTTGTCCTTAAAATGAAGCATCACATTACTCATCTTTTGCTGATTTTAAAGCCATAATAGTTATTCATATAAAATATGATGCAAATGAAAAACAATAAAATGTTGTATACCTCACTACACTCAGGGATATGACATAGTTCACTGGTAAGTGGAAAAGAAAGATACGTGGAATCTGTACACAGTGACATACAAAGGTGTGTTCATGTCATTATTTGTGGTGGGACTAGCAAATGGAAAGTTATCTGTCCCAAGAATAATTTTCTACTTAAGAAACAGAAATTAAAGCCAGATTGGGAGATGTTACAATTGTTTCAGCAGATATCTGCTATACAATAGAGCTGGAAGAGACCTTAGAAAGCCATCAAGTCCAGCCCCCTGCCCAAGGCAGGGCCAATCCCAATTAAATCAACCCAGCCAGGGCTTTGTCAAGGGCTATTCATAATGGCCCTTTTGTCAACGGCTATTATCTATGACAATACATGTGAATATGTATACAAATGGGAAATGAGTATCAGGAAATTTACTTTGAATTTAAAGTTGCTTTTCAAATTGGAATATAAACATGGATCACACATTGCAAAGAAACTTACTTGTAGTAGTAGTCTCTTGAGTGGTACGTGGGAGAATTGGTACTATAGAAAGAAAAAGAAAGAAAAAATAAATACTTTTTTCAACACACTCTAACGTTATGAGCCGCTAGAAAAATAAAATAAAATAATGAGATATTGCAATGGGACAGCTGATTGGTGCTGGGAGGAAGCCACTGGGATGGGGAACTGAAGAAAAGAAAGTACCAGAATTATCCCCTTCCTCTTCTGCAGATGAATTTATACTTTTCCTTCGGGAGCAGGATTTGCCATTCTCTCTTGCAGAAAAATTAAAGGTTTTTTTTTCCCCATTTCAATTATTAAACTATTTTCAAATAAAATAAACTAACATGGTACTCCAGCATTAATACTAACCCAAACATACAGATACTGAAATTCATTGGAATGTGATAAACTCATGCACTCTTCTGCAGATGAATTTATACTTTTCCTTCGGGAGCAGGATTTGCCATTCTCTCTTGCAGAAAAATTAAAGGTTTTTTTTTCCCCATTTCAATTATTAAACTATTTTCAAATAAAATAAACTAACATGGTACTCCAGCATTAATACTAACCCAAACATACAGATACTGAAATTCATTGGAATGTGATAAACTCATGCAGCGTTATGCCAATTCATCACTTATCCACATTGGGGTTTATTGAGCAAAACTCACTTAGGTGAGTAGACTTCAGAGGGATTGTTGGGATGTGAAATGGATCTAATTACCTTTAGTGGGACCATCATAGAATTAAGTATTTTTCAGCATGGTTAAGGGCTGCAGTAACAGCTCCTCACCGTGAAATAAGATTTGAAACTTTCTGATAAACATACTGAACCCTAAGTAATAAATTGCTGTTGTTTTGGATGCGGTGTACTCTGCAGGACATCTCCAGATACATAACAGAAAATAAAAGTCCACTTTAGTAACTGTCACAATGTTAATGAGCAGTCCTGAATCATCTTAAAGACTAACTGATTTATTTGGGCATGAATGTTCATGGGTATCTAAGTGCCACAGGACTCTGTTGTTTTTGCAGATACGGGTCCCTCTGAGACCATGACATGATATTGTGCAAACTGGATAAAGATTATTCACATCAGAGGAAAGGCGGTTAGCCAGTCAGGACTTCACACCCACATCCAAACAATGACTTAGATTAATTAATAATAATGTAAAGTATCACAGTAGTTTGGGAAATGGTGTTATTTGCCATTTTGTACAACACGATTTATGCTAAAGCAACGAATCCAGTGGCACTTTAAAGACTAACAAATTTATGAGGATTTTATGCTGTTTTCACTCCCTGGGATGGTGGTCAATCTGTCTGGCAGCTGGTGTGTGGTGTATTCCTGAGCAGATAACACTGGCTGGCATCCTCATGGTGGACACAGGTATGTCTGCCCCACCCTGGTGTGAGCACTGCCACAGAACGGATTCATCCCCTCTGCACTGCACGTCATCCAGGAGAATATTTCCGGAGCCTTCACCAAAGCAGGCACTCATGGGACTCTGCACTGCACGTCATCCAGGAGAATATTTCCGGAACCTTCACCAAAGCAGGCATTCGTGGGGGCCTCAGTGGAACTCTCAAGCTGTCTGCACACACCCTGTGCAACCTGTGGCACTTCTTTCAAAACAACTTTGAAAGAGAGAGAGAGAGAGAGCAAGAGAACATATACCAAGCAACAAACATTACTAGGACTTAGCTAGGGCTAACACCCAGGCTGTTCTAAACTGAGACAGTAATAGAGATGTAGCCATTACTATTCTACATGCAAGACACTACATCTAAACTAAGACAGACACTGGAAAAGCCAATCTGGATAAAGCATCACAGAGTCTCCAGTCGCACAATACTGGAAGATAGGTAGCACATCCGGAGTAGGAAGACACTACATCTAAACTAAGACAGACATTGGAAAAGCCAATCTGGTTAAGGCATCACAGAGTCTCCAGTGGCACAATACTGGAAGATAGGTAGCTCATCCGGAGTAGGTACCTGTACCACTGCTGCTAAATGAATAATTACAAAAACCTCTGCAGTGTACAGACAGCATCAGATTAGCAAGGAAACCAGAGTAAAGCACTATGGATTTACTATGGAATGTAGGTATGTTTATGTAAACCACTGGGGACAAGCATCAAGTAAACACACTGTGAAATTGCAGTTTGTTTTCAAATAGGTGAGGAAAAAGGAATATTTTCTTGCTTACTTGTAGTACTGGGCTCTTGTGTGGTGGGTGAGGAAACTAGTCCTGCAGAAAGAAAAAGAAAAATTAAATGTTTTATGCAACACACACTCTCCAATGTTATGAGCTGATGGGAAAAAAACACAGTAAAATGACATATGTGGTGAGCTATTACAATGGGACAGTTGATGTCTGCTCTATATGGAAACCAATAAGATGCGGAGCTGGAGAGAGGAAACAACCACTGGGATCTCCTTCCTCTTATGCAGGTCAATTAACTTTTTCTTTCCTAATAGAAGCAGGATTTTCCCACTCTCCTTTTCAGAAAAAAATGAAGGTTTTGTTTCAATCCTTTGTTGCAACAGGGCATCTGTTCTAATCTGATCCCTACCCACCACCAGAAAGAAATAAGGAGCTCTTCTGATCACAATCACCTTCAATACAACACACCTGTAGGGTTTGCCGGGCCTTGGGATGTGTGGGTCCTAAAAAAAGAGCAGCCTTTCTAATTGCATCAGGATTATAAGTCAGAGCTCCCTGGCCCATGGCAGAAGAGATTTCTGACTAGAAAACAGCTGGAGAGCTTTGACCTCCCAGACTCTCTCAGAAAGAAGATCAACCACTGGTTTTCCTGCCTCTTTTTTATTCTTTGACTTCTTGGGGGCCCAGAGATCTGCTTTTGTAGCTTCATAAGAAGCCTAATGATTTTCTGTATTGATTACTTTCACACTGCCTTGATCTGTAGAGCTGCAAGGAACTCAAACCTATTGATGCAGCCACAAAATTGGAAAGTGGCAGCTGAAGTGACAGCACATCCAGGCTGCCTGTGTGATGTGCTGATTTACTCTGTGTGGCAGCTTCCACTCCATGGGCCCAGAAAGGTGCCCATTCATGACACTATGCCCATAGGAGTCTATCTGGTCCAGCTATTTGGCCAAGCTAGGACTGATTTCATCTGGCAGGGAAGGAACAGGGAAGATCTTTATGAACTCACAATTCAGTTTTCAGGAATTAATAAAACCTGACTCTAGACAGTGTCCGATGGGTTCCATGCAAGCTCTCTATGCTGTGCCTCTGCCATCCGCTAACATGACAAATCCCTGTGACATGCACATGGCTGTTCACATAGTGATGGGAACAGGTCACTTGAAAATTTAGGCCTCCCATCAAACTTGGGCTGAGACTGGTTGGTACAAGCATGTATTGAATTGATGCAGCAGATCTAAAGGACTTTTCAGGATTAGTTCCTTATGTAGAGGCACATCAGTGCATATCCTCCAGGAGTGTAAACAAGGGCTTAAGAGGATAAAAAAAAGGAGCCAAATGTGGAATAATTTTCTACTGTCAAAATAGTAAGTAATCCTCATAAGAAGAAAATAGCTTTCTTTCTGCACATATCTGCCCTCTCCATGGGACTGCAGATATGTTTTAGTAAAGCAGGGAGACGGGAATCCAATACATGCCCTGTTAAATGCTTGTAAAATGAAATACAAACTTATGTGTAGTAATGGGTACTTGTGTGGTAGGTGAAGAAGCTGGTAAAAAATTAAAAAAACAAACCCCCAAATTAACTACCGTACAAAAGAGATATTGCAGTAAACTTTGAGTTGTTGCAAAAGAAAAACCCAGTAAAAGTACATCTGAGATGTGCTATTGCCTCGAGCTATATCACGTGCTGCTGTGGGGATATCAATGTGATGGGGGCCAACAAGGGGCAAAGTACAACAGGATTCCTCTTCATTCCTCACCCTTTAGTTCCCTTGTACAGAAGAACCAAATTTTCAACTCCAAACCTAGCAGAGCAAATATGATGCTACGTAATCAGGGCATGCCTACACTGGGGAGTCATTTTGAAATAACTCCTCTTATTTCAAAATAACAAAGTGAGCATCCACACTAGCAAGCCTGTTATTTCAAAATAATTGTCTTATTGTTTTAAAATAATAACACCTGCTTGTGAAGAGGAATAAGCTTATTTCAAAATAATTATTCCAGGAGTTATTTCAAAATCACCCGATAGTGTAGACATAGCCACACAGAGTAAATCAGCACATCACACGGGCTGCCTGGGTGCACCTTTTCATTGGCCGTCACTTCAGCTGCCCCTTTCTAATTTTGCAGCTGCACCAGCTGTGTCTGCGTTCCTTGCACACGGGTTTGTACCAGTTATTGAACACACCACATAGATTTATCATGACTTCATGCAGTACAAAGAACATAATTCATGTTGCACAAAATGTTAATTGTGATTGATTAATTTATAATAAAGTAAAGAAAGTCATGGTGTGGATATAAAGTCTTGACTGTTCAATATCCAATATTCTGCCTTCTATTCCAGGATCTTAGGAACCATAGCACTAAGAGATGGGAAAGAATTCTTTTAGGTAGTAGGCGTTCAATCTAACTCCACTTGAAGACAACCAGTGACTTCAAAGGAAGTTGGACTACATCCCTTCAGGCAATGTGTTTACTAATATTTTTATTCAGTCTTGTTCTATATTTCCCAAGTGATGAGGTCCCCTCCACTTTCTTTGGAGACTAATTTCACAGTTTTTCAGACTTTACTGTCAGGTATTTTTTCATGCTGTTTAGCCAGAACGTGCCCTTTCTTAATTTCTTTGAATTCTGGTAATGAAAGTATTGTGTGCCACTTTAAATCATTCCTCTTCTTCCTGGGTGCTTGTATCATTTAATATATTTGTGTACTCCATTATTGCCACAGGGAGCTGAGACTTAGGGTGTGTCTACACCGTTTAACTCAAAATAAGCTACTCAAATTGAGCTACGTCAATTGCGTATCTTATTTTGAAATAGCTTATTTCGAAATAGGGAGTGTATACATAGCACTTATTTTGAAATGGAGCACTGTTCCTCCGATTTCCCTTATTCCTCATACAATGAGGATTCGAGGAGTTGGAGTAAGAAGTCCTCTAGCTTGACAGTATTTTGACACTATTTTGAAATAACTGCCTTCTGTGTGGACACGGACAAAGTTATTTTGGAATAGCGCTGGTTATTTTGAAATAGTGTTCCTGTGTAGACGTACCCTGTGGCAGCCTCCCTTGCATGGACCCAGAAAGGTGCCTCCTGATGCTACTGTGCCCATAGCAGTGTACCTGGTCCAGCAATTCAGCCAAGCCGAGAGTGATTTCAGTCCAGCAGGAAAGGAACAGGGAAGATTTAAATGAGGACTTTTCAGCATTAGTTGTTCATGCAGTGGCACATCAGTGCATATCCCGATATAGTATAAACAAGGGCTTAAGAGGAAGGAAAAAGTAATCAACTATGGAATAATTTTGCATTGTCAAAATAGTAAGAAACCCTCATAAGAAGGAAATGGCTTTTCTTCTGCAGATATCTGCTATTTCCATGGGAACGCAGGTATGTTTCAAGAAAGCAGTGGAGAAAGAAATCCCATAAATACCCTGTGAAATGTCTTTTATACTGGAATAAAACTTACATATGGTAGTTGGCACCTGTGTGGTAGGTGAAGAAGCTGGTAAAAAATAAAGAAAACAAAAGCCAAAATTAAATATTATACAAAAGAGAAATTTCAGCAAACTTTGAGTTATTGTAAAAAAAAATCCACGAACAAACACTTAAACTGCATCCGAGTTGTGCTTTTGACAGGAGCTAGATCACCGGCTGCTGTGGTAAAAATAAATGTGATGGGGGCAAACAAGGGGCAAAGTACCACAAGGTTCCTCTTGTGTTAATTACCATTTAATTCCCCCATATAGAGGAATCAAATATTCATGGCCATGTTTTGCAGAGCAAATATAGTTTTATGAAATCAGAGATTACTGGTGTTCAGGGCCTCTGTATGTACTGTTATCAACATGGTACCATAGACACATTGAAGTCACACTGTCATGCACTTCTTTCCTTGAGATTACTCCTTACATCCTCTGTAGTGATGAGTTTCCTCTTTGTGGCGACCTCCCCTCCAAGGGCCCAGAAAGGTGCCTACTCATGATACTGTTCCCATAGGGCTGTATCTGGTCCAACAATTCAGCCACTCTGAGGGTATGTCTACACTGCAGCGCTAATTCGAACTAACTTAGTTAATTCGAACTAAGCTAATTCGAACTAACGCGTCTAGAACTAAAAACTAGTTCAAATTAGCATTTTGCTAATTCGAACTAGCAAGTCCACATTGAGTGGACCCTGAACAGGGCTTAAGGATGGCCGGAAGCAGTGCCGGCAGGGCATCAGAGGAGGACTTAGAGCGTGGAGATGCTGTCTCAGGCTAGCCGAGGGCTGCGCTTAAAGGGTCCCGACCCCCACCCCGGAAAGACAGTTCTAAGGGGTGCCCCGCTTGCAAAGCAGTCCTGGCTTGGATTGCCCAGAGTACCCAGACTGGGCACATCACACCACTCGGCCATCAGCCTGGCTGCACTTGCCGCAGGCTGCGATCTGGGGAGAGGGGGCAATCGGGG